ACTGTGTGAAGGTCGTAGAGCGTAGCCACACAAACCTGCACACCTCGGCTGTCTATAGGGACTGGGGTCACACTTGCATCCATTGCTACGCAACTCACAACGGTATAGTCTCCATGTACGTGACATCCTGTGATTTATTTATTTTATAATGAAAAGTTGGCACCTTTTGACCTTTTAAAAAAATAACAATAGTGAACACATCATTAATTGGGACTAAAAAACCTGAGAGAGGAGAGATTCTCTCCCTCCCTGCAGCAGTTACCCTGGTTGTCCCTGCCCCCCGTCTGGGTGTGGCCCTGTGGTATGGAGAAACTGGGTCAGCATCTTGTGAGACCCTACAATGCTGTGTGTCAGTGATATTACTCCAAACACCTGATCCCCAAAGACCTCTGGATCCTCAAGGGTTTTCTGAAGCAGCAAAGGATGATCTGTAGGCTCAGGCTTAAATTTGGGCAGTTAGAAATACAAGTCTAGTAGGTAACTCAGTGCTCACTGGATTCTTTGCATTTACCAGGTGCCCTGTAGGTATTGCTGTATGGATCCCCTTGCCTGCCATCCATCTATCTATCCTCCTATCTGTCTGACATACTTAACACACTTATTGTTATGTGCCTAGTGCTAGTCAAAGCCTTTTTCATGTATTCATTAAAAGCCACCACAACCTTATAGAAAGGGTCAGGTACTGTTTGCATTTTACAAAAGAAACTGAGGCAAAGATAAACAATTTTAGAAAGTGGCAGAATCTGAATTTGAACTGGAGACACCAGGCTTCAGAGCCTGGGTTTGTCACCCTCACTGTACAGTATCTCATCACAATCCATGGGTGCTGGGCAATCTCCCCTGCCCACATGGGGCTCATTGGTGTTACCCAGCAGACGGGATCTGCCAGGGGAATGCAGGGTTCCAGGAAGGAAGGGTGGAGGGCTCGGGAGTGCGGTGAGGAAGCCTTCCCAAGGTGGTACAGGCAGGCTAGGGGGCCTGACCATGACAATGAGAACAAACCTGGACACAGCTGGGACAGGGGAGGCCACCAGCCACCTCCCTGCCATGACACCAACGAGCACCTGCTGGCGTGCTTGGAAAATGCTCTTGAAAATGCCCTCTGGCCACCAGCTGCTGTTCTGTGGAGGCCAGGGTCATGCTCTAAGTGGTCCATTACGGGTTCCACTGGTGGGGGCTGGGCTATGAAGTGGGGATTTGGAGATGCCATGGCAGGCAGACCACCCAGAACTCGTTCCTGTAGAAAACGAGGACTTGGAGAAACACATAAATAGTAAATGAACAACCAGGATAATTGGGCCATGGTCTCAGGTAAGAACAAATGTCCATTCCAGAAAAGTGACTTCTAAGAGACTTGGAGCCAGCTGCCCCTGAGTGGTCCTGGCTAGCCCAGCACCAACTCCATCCCTGCCTGGAATGTGCCCTCCACACCTGCCCCCATGTAAATCTGTGTGAGGCCCAGTCTTCATCTAGCAATAGGATCCAGTGAGAATTGAATAACATTTTTATGGAAAGCAATAGCATTTTTTTCCTTTTTATGAAAGTGAAAAAGAACAAGCCTATTTAAGGTAAAACATGGCACATATAGAACAGAAATTTAGCAAAACTGGGGGGATGGGGCATGATACTCAAATTCATTTATTCATTTATTTGTGTATTCAACACATATTTATTGAGTACTTTCTGTGTACCCAGCCCTATTGTGGGCACTTTTCTACCACAGGTTAAGTTCCACCCTCATGCATTTTTGGTTATGAGGGGGCACCAGTGAAGAATGGAGTGGAGGTAAATCGATGTATTAGGTAATGAGGGATGCTGTGAAGGTAACCATTGCAGGAAAACAGAAACTGATGGGAGAGGATGCTGGTTTAGATAGAGTGATGTTTGAGCAAAGACAGAAATGATGTGAAGTCACCAAGCCTGCAATATAGTGATAAGGAATGTTCCAGAAAGAAGGAACTGCAGGGCCTCCCTGGTGGCACAGGTGGTTGAGCACCGCACTGTGAAGCGGTCCGCAGCCTCTACAGTGCGGGTTGGATCCCGGTCGGCCGGCAAGAATCCCACATGGCGCAGCAGACCTCTCCTGTCACGCCCGCTGCTCCCCTGGGCAGTGTATTTCGTCAATCTGCCTGTTCTGTTCCCTGCTCTGTCTCTGGTGAATCTTCTCATCCTTCTGCACATCTGGCCTGTACCCAGTTCTTATATAAATAAATAAATCTTTAAAAAAAAAAAAAAAAAAGAAGGAACTGCAGGTGCAAAGACCCCGAGGTAGCAGCATGCACAGAGTATTTGAGGAAACATGTCTGACAAATGGGTAAGAAGCTCTGGAGTAGATGTTTTCCAGCATCCCTCCCAATGACCTTGTAACAGTGACCTGGATTGGGATGTTTTCTGGATTAAGACATGGCCACCTAAGAACCTGGCTACTGGTGGGTCCCTGACTGTGTGAGGGGCAAACACTAGTTCTGCCGAAAGAGCTGTGGGTTCAGCATGTCCCTGAAGATGGGAAAATGAGGAGTAGGTCAAGCCCGCTGCATTGTCTGTTTGCCTTTTGAGGATAGGGGTGGGGGTGGGAAGAAGAGTCTTCATTCATCAAGTGTTTGCTGAGTGACCACAAGTGCCCTTCAGGGGGCTGGATGTAGAGAACAAAGATGAATCAGGAACAGTTCCCATCCATCGGAGTCCCAGCCTGGGGGCTTGGGGACCTGCCATGTGGCTGGCAAACGGGTATGTAGGTACAGTGTCTTCGGGCCAGTTCTACCCACACCGTGGAACCCTAAGTGAGGAGTCTCACTGTGGCTCCTCTCCCACAGCCCAGGGCTGCATCATAGAGTCCAAAGGGAGGGCCAGGGCTAGCTACGTATTGATGGGGGCCCAATGCAAAAAAAACCTAGTGCACAGAACAGGAGAAAAGTGCTTTTCAGGTATGTGGAATGCTAACTTCCTCTCTTCTGTGGCCTCTCTCTCAGCATTTGTAATGTCCATTTGCTATAGCTAAGTAAAGGAAAATGGAATTTTAAATGATTAGTGCAAATTTGACCATTTATCTTTACATTGCACAGTGGCACTTTAAAGTACAAATATCAGAATATGTAAGTCATATGTGGAATCTTGAAATTATACTGCTTATATCCTGGGGCTTGTTTCCAGAGGGCAAGTAGGCCAATAGGACACACTCAAGCCAGACTGGGGAAGGTGGCACATTCTCATAAGCACCCAGGGCCCTACACCCACAAGGCAGACACGCACATGTCCCCTCGGCCCGACGCCTCCCACCACATCTTGGACGGCCACACCTCTCCTTGGCCAAGGATGGCATCAGGGAGGTTCAGCCTGGCAGCCCAAGGATTTTGAAATCTTGGCCTCAGGCTGTGCTTAATACCTGGATCAGGAGTGGGTGAGAGATCCCTCCTGCCAAAGCCAGTCTCCAGCTGCCACCCACCAGATACACTTTAGGGCTGCCAGCAGCCCTATAAGGGTGTAGGGAGATCGCTGCCCCCGTGCTCCATGCCAGATACACAGGAATACATGCCTGGCTAGCCCGCCCTGTGCCTGGAACCCTGTTGGGGTGGAGGGCTGTAGTAGTTTCAGAGCAGGGGGATAGTGGGAAAGGCTGACATGTCCTGGGGTATAGAGGGCAGGAGAGCAGACTGCTAAGGACCTATCCTGGGGAGGCAGTAGAAGGCTAGACCACATGTGAGCTGAGACTCCATGGCTGCTTACACAGTAGACTCCAGGATAAAATAATTAAGGCTTTTGAGATGGCAACACAGACCATTCCAGCCCGAGTTTGAGGCCCTCAGAGCCTGGGAGACCCTGGGAGAAGACCTGAGATCACCTGGCCTTTCTTAACCTCACTTCTCTAACTCAGACGAGGTGGGGAAGCTCGCTTGGGCCATGTAATGAAGGAGGGGTTCACTGTGGGTCATACGTGCCTGGGGACTGGGCAACCAGCAGAAACCGAGGCCCTGAGCTCCCGTGGAAATTCTGTGTCTGACCACTCCCCCACCCCGATCTGCTGCCAGCCAGCTTCTCTGCCTGCTCCCTGATGTTTATGGTGTACTTGCTGCATGTATGTCAACTTATGCTGGGCACTTCTCACATTTAATCTTCTCAACAGCCCTGTGCTGTAGGAAAAGCAGTGTGTGTGAACGCCTCCTCTGTACAGGCACCCAGCCAAGTGCTTTGCTGTGTTAACCCCATAGCAGCTCTGTGAAACAGGTATTATTAGTTTCTTTCTACAGATGAGGAGACCAGGACCTGCCGGGGTTCATTAACCATCTGAATGAATGACTTGTAAGTGGTACAGTGAGGTCTCCCTAAGCCCTGCATCATTAACTCTTGGTTTCTGCCCCTCATGCTTTTTCTGTGGGCACTCCAGTATCTGTTTGCAGAACACAGCACTTTAGCTTTAAAGTGCTACACCCACACCTCTTAGCACTGCCTAGGCCAGGTTCCCAAAAGAGGGGCACCCTGGGGCTCTTCTCCACCATCAGTGCTCAGGTTGTTGGTCAGCTTTTGAAGTGGTCATTCTAAGCATGGAGCCCACTCTTATCTGTGTGTGAGCTTTGTCAGGGAAGGGAACTTGCGGGGCCAAAGGGGCAGTGGCTGTAGCCTAGAGCCAGCTGTGGGCCAGTTGTGGCTGAGCAGGGGAGCAGGTTCAGGGACACAGAACAGTTGTCCTCAGAAGTGTTCCTCAGATGGGCTGTGGGGCTGGGGAGCCCAGGGGCTGCCCATCCCTATCTGTCCCATCAAGACCTAGAGTTGAGGCTTGACCATGTGTCTAGGTCCAGACTGTGTCAAGTCAAAAACAGGTGCCTCCGGGCAGGAGTGATGGCCAGGCTATGGTGGGAGTTACTCTTCCTCTTGCATACATATGAATCTACCGTTTGGGGACTTTCTGGCCTTCCTGGCCCCTGCAGAGGTGAGAACTGCAGCACCTGTGGTCTCCAGCTTGCTCCCCTTCTCACCCTTGCTCTTCTTCCTCCTCCATGTGGCAGAGCTCCGCCTGGAAGGGAACTTCCTACACCGCCTCCCCAATGAGGTCAGCACCCTGCAGCACCTCAAGGCCATAGACCTGTCCCGGAACCAGTTCCATGACTTCCCTGAGCAGCTCACCTTGTTGCCTGCGCTGGAGACCATCAATCTAGAGGAGAATGAGATCGTGGGTGAGTGCTCCCAGCCCGCCTGCTCTTGGGGCGGCTGCCTCCTTGTTTGCACTGCTCTCTGAGCTCCCTTTCCTGAGCCGGGCTCATGGGGCTGCACTGGGTTCAGGGCCATGGAGTGAGACTTTCACAGACCAGAGGGCAGGGGTGGCCTTGTGGTTTGAGATAGCCAGGCACTGGGCCTGGGAAGGTAATTATTACGAGGTTCTGCCCTCTGGGAGGGTGCCAGGGCTCATTACTTGCTCTCACCTGGCAGGTAGGAGGCCATGGATTGCCCAGAACTGGCCAGGCCACCCCTGGCCTCCGGCTCTCCCTCTCCAGTCTCCATCTGCCAGTCTGGGCTGCAGTAAGAAACTTCAGCTCCGACTCTCTTTACATTTACGCCTGCCTGAGTGCCTGGCTTCCCCTTCCTGGCCTTCACACTTTGTTTTTCACCATTATTTAGTGAGGGCTTCTCTGGAAACATTTTCAGAACTGCATCTCTATGCCTTCCAGTACAAAAATGCTCCTCCCAGGGAACCAGAGGGTGTCCTGTTGCAGGTCTGAGGTGTGTGTGCAAACAGTAGACATGGTGATCTAGGCTTGCTCGGGTAGGGAAGTCGTTCTTTTCCCCACTTGCCACATTTATTCTCCTCATGGTCTCTTGAGGATGTCAACATTCTCTCCAGCTGCTGTCTAAGCACCACAGGCTCCCTCCGAGCTCCCTCCTTCAGCTGCTTTGTCATGCTACAGAGGCCCTTCTCCAACCTCTTCCCCACTCCCTCACGTTGCTTTGTTGATGGTATTAATAATAACTTCCTTCAGTTACACTTTTATTTTCATAAGCCCTTTCATAGCCATTATGCCATTTGATTAAAAGCAAGAGCTCTCGATTGGTTTGGAGCTGTTAGATGGAAAATGGACTGCCTCGTGTGCTGGGCATGTCCCATCTATCTATCAGAGATTTGCCACCAGGACTCTCTGACCCTGGCTAAGTGAGAGGTGGGACTGGCTAATGTCTGAGGTCCTGGGTCTTTTACAGATAGGTAGACTGAGACTCAGAGAGGTTACTTGAGACTATTAGGTTGCACAGCAAGAATGTAGAAGTGCCAGGACAAGAATATGATTCCAATGCTGAGGCCTGCACCGGGGTGGTATCTCTTTGTCTGGTCCCTATGAAGGTCCTGGGGGGCTGAGGGAGCTTCTGGCTCAACCTCACTCTCCCAAGACCAGAACCCTTGAGCGACTTGAACCGGGGTGGCCTCCCTGGTCACTTGGGCTTCTGTGCTATCTTTAAGCAGAAGGAGCATGTTCAGAAGTACCTTTTACCTGCAAGGCTCACCCTCCTGGTCTTCTGTGAGCCCTTCATTCCTGCCATTTCCAGCACTCCTGGCCATGCTCTCCTGGCTGGACCCTTCCTCCCTGTCTTTTATTTTTAGTCTGTTCCTGCTGCTCCTTTTCCTTCTGCTGCTTATCCAAGTGGGGCAATAACCAAGCAGGGGCTACTCCAGGGCAATGGTGCGATGAGAGCTGGGTGTGGAGCTGCAGCAGGTGAGTCAGGAGTAGCACTGGGCATGGGTCTCTCCTCTTCCTACCTGCGGCCTTAGATGCACGTCACCTCTCTGCACCTCCATTTCTCCTTGTTTTTAACATGGAGGTTAGAAAAATGGCCTTTTCTCAGGCAGGGGGGCAGGTGAATGGGCCTCTGTGCTGGCTGCAGTACGTGAAGTGACTTTCCCCAGAGTCTGAGTCAGTTCAGGAGCCACAGATTCCCCACTCTTTGCCCTCCTACCAGGATGATGCGATCTCTCAGGTGCAACCCCTGAACAAAGAGCAGCTGTTTTGGTTCATTCTTTCCTCTTCCTATCTCTCTCTTTCTTCAGAGTGACTGTAATAACTCTACATACAGAAATATCTTATAGTTTGCCAAGATCATTTACTCACAGGTCTGAGGAAATGGTCATTGTCCCCATTTGACAGATGTAGAAACTGAGGCTCTCAGAGATTCCCCTAACCTTCAAGGTCAAGTGTCTGTTGCACCCTTGGCCAGGAAAGCGGTATCAATCATGGGGCTGTGCTCCCTGGTCAGTTCAACCTGACAGCGTCCCCCACTGCCCAGCTTGAGCCAGGCCTGGGGCTATGGAGATGCTGGAGTGTACGCCTCTCCTGCTTGTTCCCAAGTGCCCATGACTCCCAGACATGCTCAGCTTATGTCAGGGCCCTCTCCAATGTGGGGGGCCATGGTGGTTCTCCCAACCCCTCAAGAAAGAAGGGGCACACAGAGCACATATCCCCTTGCTGGATTCTCCTCACCTCTCCCTAATCCAGCCTAGTTACTTGGGTGGGTTTCCTAATTCCCAAACCTGTGGAGGGGCCGGACCAGGCATTGCTAGCTTGACTGCAGGGAGGAGGGGCCAGTGGTCCCAGGGAAGGAGGGGAGGGCAGAATGTCCACCATGGAAATCACTTTGTGCTATTCATCAGACAGAACTGCTCTCCTGCAGGGCCTCATGGGGATAATTGTAGTGGGAGCTTGGCATACCTTAAGTGTGGCTTATTTTTCCTCCAGAGCCTTCAGAAGGTGTTGGAAAATTTCTTTTTTAGATTATTTTGAGAAATAAATTTGAGATGAATGGATTGTCTTAAACTTTTGTGCAGAAAGGTCACTCAATCTGAAGGCCCCCCTCTCTGCCCAAGGGATGTAGCTGGCCAGACCCCAGAAAGACCTGGAAGCTTGTGCACCCTGGGAGTTACCAAGCTCCATTCCAAACTCCATCTTTTTCTATTTTATGAGGAATAAAATATGCCCTATCCGGAGGAGAGACCTCCTGAGCCCGGGGGTCGGGCAGGGGGCAGACAAGCCTGCCAGGACACAGTTGTTTGCTCTGGGCACTCCAAAGAGTCAAGAGATAATAGTTCACAACAAGATCCAGGGATGTGTGTGGGTTGGTCCCTATAGTTTCCAAACCAGAAAGTGTTCAATGGAGAATATCCTAAGTATTTGTAGACTAGGCTGCTTGGGGAATGCAGTTTCCGGAGGAAGAGGGACTGCAAAGGTGATTGAGATGGTAGCTCTGAGCTCAGCTGCTTATAGGCTGGAAGGGAAGTATGAGTGGCAACAGATAGGAAGCTACTGGATGAGCCATCTCCAGATGTGCCAGGACATGCCAGCTAGGGGGAGGCCTCTATAGATGCAGAGGGGTGCTGTGTGTGTCCTGATGAGGTGGGGTTGCCAGGATGGCCCAGGGAGGGTGCTGAAGGAAGAAGAGGCTGATAGTCTAACTGTGGGTAGGGAGGACATGGGGATATCATGGGTCCCCTATCTTGTGACTACCAGGAAGCTAGCTCTTCACCCCAGCAACAATGGCGTAAAGGTGGGTGCAGAAGCAGCATGTATTCTGACCCCTTGCTCACAAGTACTGAATGCTGCACAGCAATTGAGCATGTTCTCGGAACACATGGGGGTGAAGAGAAAATCAAGAATTTAGGAGACTTCATTTTGCCAAGCGGGAGACCACTTTGGTTAAGCTAGAATTTAACTTTCTGTAACCCTCAATTTGCTGGGGTGTTTTCCCCTCTGTACCCACTGTTCCAGAAAGAGCAAGAGATCATAGGAAAAACAGATTCTTGTTAAGAACTAAACAGTACAGTAGCTCTTTGAAAAAGAAAAGTACCTGTGTTGGGGTGCTTTTGTTAGGGGGAAGTGATGTCCTGAGTTAATCCCATACAGGATTAACTTTGTGGACTCCACCCCCACTCCAGACTAAAGCCATCAAGACTCTGGGAAAGACAAATCCCATCACCACCAAGGGAGGATGGCTGGGACCTGAGGGTGGAGTTGGGCGGCCAGGTTGGATATAAAAAACCAAACACGTGGGCCTTGGGCTCTCTCTGGCTCCCGATCGCTCACCTCCTGGCTTCACCGCTCCTGGCTGGCGGCCAGCTCTCAGAGCGCCATTTTGGGATTCCTAATCGGCGGATCGGGTAGGACTCATTTAAAACTTTGTCTCCCACTTTTCTCCCAGAGCTGTACATTTCCTCATTTACCCTTCCCTTTGTAAATAAACCTTTTATTAACCTTTCACGTGTGCCTGCAGTAGAGCATTGATAAGTCCTTTTAAGCGCGCGGGTGAGGACCCACAGTCAGGCACCCCGTTTTGTATCGGGGTTGCTCTACAACACTTTGAACTGCATTTACTTAATTCTGCCCTTGCATTCATTAACTTCTTACTGCCAGTATTTCTCAACGTGGAGCCCCAGAGCTTGCAGCAGCACCAGCAAATTGTTGGAAATGCATGTTCCCAGGCCCCTCCCCAGACCTCCTCAATCAGAAACTCAGTGGGAGGGGGAATCATCTGTTTTGACAAGACCCCCACCCCCACCCCCACCAGGTGAATCTGCTACATATTGAACTTTGAGAATCCCAGCCAAGGCTGTCGCTTCTCAAAATGTCACCCGGAGCCCAGAGACCTGGCCATCACCTGGGAGCTTATTAAAATTCAGAAACTCAGACCCCGCCTCCCATGTCCTGAATGAGAGCCTGCACCTGAGCAAGGTCCCAGGCAATGCCTGTGCACTGTCCTGGCGGAGAAGCACTGGGCCTGGGCCTTTTCCTAAAGCACTAGGGGCTATTTCCTGGCAGCTGCTGGTGTCCACGAGAATCTCCGGCCCAGATGTCACCACTCCTTTCCCACATCTACCAGTCGGCTCCCCGTCCTGCCCACCCCGCCTCTTCAATCATCTTGTAACTTCCTCCTCTCACATGTCTCAGCTGGCCTGTTCAAGTGTTTCATCGTAGTTTATCTGGGCCATGGCGCCAGCCCTCACTCATCAGGTTTCCCTTGTTCCCTGGGAGCCAGATGTAAGTGGAAACAGGGTTTGAACCAGGTTTTCGGTGTTCCAGAGCCTGCCTAGTTTTCATTTAATGGAAGAGGATGATGTGGGTGGCTCCATGGAGAAACAGGTGCAGGATGAATGCCTGGTAGGCACCCAAAAACGATTTGCTGAATCAAATTGGCAGGGTAT